AGATACTTAGGGGCTCCGATGTCTGGTTTTGGTGGTGGTTTATGGGGGTGTGATGATCCTGGAGCTCAGACTGATGACAGACGTGACCGTCCTAAATGGGGTCGTCTGGCTGGGTCAAAGGGCCTCAGCTTTCTAGGGACGGTGTCTGAAACCTGATATTGTGAACATTATCACACTGTCGGTGCCACATCACACAGAGATACATCAGCATAATGCAAAGTGTTCATCTCCTCTGACGTACGTATTATGTATAACACATATTGACTCATGCAGCAATCTGCAGGGTGTTTCTCAGCTGATTATGATTCAAGATAAAACATCAGTGTTTACAGAAAGCAGGGATGTAAACAGACAGACTGCAGTACAGCATCTGTTTCATTTATGCAGGACAAATAAATGCAATGTATCATTAAGTGAGACATGGTCAGCCATGCCATTAACCTTTTCTGTATTTCCAGGGGTGCAGGTTTCGTTTCAATATTGGAGGGGGGCACATATGATAGGGAGGGAGGGTTGGGGGTCCTCCACCAGAACATTTTAAGCATCAAACACTTAATTTCCTACATTCTGGTGATTTTTGTGCACCAGTATGTGCCTTTTCTGCATCACTTTGTGGCATCAATATCTTTAATTTTATCAAAATAAAAGTCATCTGCTACTTTCATGTTTGATTGTATTTGTGTTTGCAAACTTGCTCGCCTCAAATTGCCACTTAAGGGACAAATAAAAGTATTTTGAACTGAATCTATGTCTTAATTTATTCCTAGATAATTGATGGTGGGTTATTAACACGCAAATGCAAAATAAACAAAAACAAAACCAGCAACTTAATTTAAAAGGAGAAGATTGCGTAGCACTGTGATTCATACTGTATTTGAATAAAAAACTGTGATTATTTATTTCATTAAGTACTTGATGAATCCTGAAGGTTGCATATTTTTGAGATCAAGAGGTTTTTCCATTTCAAAGTTTATTGTTTAAAGGTCCAGCTCATTCTAAGGTAACAAAAACACAATGACTCTCACTTTCAGGTGATTATACATTAAAGAAAACATATATATGAATCTTATTTACCATTTCTGCTGACACATGCCCCTAAATCCTACACAGTGGACCTTTAACACTAAACAACTATATTTTGTGACTTGTTTATCATTTAGCAGGGCTACATCTTACTGACAAACCTCTTCAGAAGAGCTTTAGATCAGAAAAATAACAAAACTGTCTCTAACTAAACAAATAACCATATTGATGATCTAGTAGCACAAACTATGAGGGAAAACTTGAAATTAAGCATGTATGAATTAATCTTTCAGTTTAAATTTTACATTTAAAGCCTAATGTTTTCAGTTTGACCCTTCTGAGCATCACAGTGTGCTCACATAAACAAAAAATATCTACTGATAGATTATATTTTGTTTTTAAAAATGACTTTTCCCTTCATCTACATCATCCTGATACACTGGAGCAAATTTAAATGTTTAGAATTTTTGTCACTTTCACTGTCCAGGGCATCAGATTACACCTTAGCATGTCTGGCTGTGTAACTGGCGAGTGGAGGGGCTCAGTCGTTCACCCTCTGTGCTGCTGAAAGTCAAAGGTGTAAGGGTTTGCTGTTGACAACTCAACCGTCAGTCTCCAACATAAGAAATGGTTTTGACCCCTCTGTATCACCTGTTCCCGTGGCTCTCGTGACTCAGCTCCCAGCTCTAGAGGTCCTTCATGTCACGCTTCATAAAGTGTCCTAGTTTATTAGTCGGTAAAATCTATTACTGTCTATTACAGCTCTATTGACTCCAATGTGAAGTCTTCAGTGAACAGGTGATTAGGTTTATGTCTCCAGGTCTTTCAGGGCAGGCACTTATGTTTGTCTCAAGGGCGCGGATGTATTTATAAACTCTTTCTTTAAATGGTCTTGTACTGTGTGCTCTGACAGATGAACTGAAGACAAGGCCAGGCTTGCAGCTTGACCTTCCCTTAAGGCAAGTGTTTGTTCCCCCTACGCAGCAAGAAGGGGATTATGTTATATGATGTGTAGTAGTTTGCATTCTTTCCTATGACACTGAACTGACAAAGACAGGGAGAAGGCATTAGGAGCTAAATACTGAGGACTTCACACCCTTCAAAAGAGGCATATACATTCAATAAAAATGTGAAACTTGATCTCATATGCCCCCGGGTGTGCTTATTTGGAAGAAATACAAATATAGCTGTCTCCTCAGCAATGTTCTCACAGCTCAGCCACTTGTCACTGTCTCAAGTCTTATTGTGGAACAACCTTTGATATAAAACACTCACTTCCTTGGTGGTCTCAGTCTCAGATATGACAAACTCATACTCATGCTTATATCAATATGTCACAGTCTTAAAGGGACAGTCCACCTCAGAATCAAAACTACATATTTTCCCTTTCACCTATAGTGCTATTTATCAGCCAAGATTATTTTGGTGTGAGTTGCAGAGTGTTGGAGATACCAGCCGTAGATTGCATTTAGCTTGTGGTGCTCTGCTTTTTTGGCACTTTGAGCACCACAAGCTGAGTGCCATCGAGATCCATTATATTCAAGAGAATGCAGACGTCTCTATTGCTGATATCTCCAACAATCTGCAACTCACGCTTAAACGATTTAGATTAATAAATAGCACTACAGGTAAAAGTAAAAGTATGCGTTTTTGATTTCGGGGTGAACTGTCCCTTATAAACCTATAGTGTTTATTTACTGTATGTCAGATCCTACTGTATCATCTTTCTAGCAGCACTACCTGTCTGCACTGATAACAGATAAACTAAATGTTAAAGGGTTACTAGTTGATGAGACCACTGCAACCTCTTTTATGCAAACTTTTATGATTGTTCAACAAGCTTTATGTCTCAGGTAAAACTCAAAAGAATGAGGACTGACAATACTCCAAGGGAATAACCATGTATGACACACAGGATGTTAAGTAGTGAAAACCCTTCATTTCATCTAGTATGATAGATATAGTTTTATACTTTAATATCAACAATATAGCTTGACAGAGTGAATCAGATAACCAGTTTGGAACATCTGTTTTTGGCGAAGTCATTTAAATCCCTGACAAATCACAGTACTTCATCACACTGCTGCAAAACCCTGTAGATGCAGTATTACCACAGAGCAGTCTTGCGCACTGATTTGCAGACGTGCCCACAATGCAACAATACAATCAGAGATGTTAAAGATGTAGCTACGTGGGTGTAAATGGTGAGGCAAAATATCTGATGGTAGACAAATGTATATTCTCATGATGTATTTTGACATTCTTGACACTGGTCAAGTGTCAAGTAAGGTTGGAATTTCATTATGCTACATTTGCTACTTAGTAAAGAGCAGAATGATTTATTTCTTTATTCTATTTCATCTATACTTTGTAAAGATTACTAATAAACTGATTTATAGTGATTGCTACCCAACCTCAGCAGAGGCGGCCCTGCGTCCAGACACTTTGAGGAATCACTGAGGAGTATTGTGGTTCACTAATAGGTCTATTTTCATCACAACTTGACACGGTGCAACATATGTTTTGGGGCACATAAAAAAGCTGTAGGGTCACTGGACTGTCAGTAACATTATCACCACGAGGCAAAGATTTGCAGTTATCGTAACCTGGAGAACTTTAACGTGGTAACAGTTGACAGTTGACAATGCGGTTATTTTGAATGATCAAGCTGCACATACCCTGCTCAGACTTAGACACAAAATACACCACTCGAAATCAGTTTACTTTGAGTTCTATCATTGCTTATTAGATTTATGCACTCCTGATAAAAGTTTCATAATTTTCTTTGTGTAAGACAGTATTGCTGATTTCTCTGTATACTTTAAAAGACTATAACCTTCAATTTGAAGTGTTTGCTTGTATTGTACAGTATGTGTATAACTAACATACATCCTTTGAATTAAAGCTGGGGTAGGCAGTTAAATTCTGGCTTCATAGGACAAAAATCCCATAATAACTGAGCATTTTGTAATTCAAATGGACTGAGAAAAACTAGACTTCTGCACCTCCTCTTGACTCCGTTTTCAGGCTTTAAAAAATGATGGGAGACTTTGGCCAATCACAGGTCATTTCAGAGAAAGGGTGTTCCTATTCACTGTTCTACAGATGTTCTTCAAAAAAAGCATTGGCAACAACTGCCTACAGTACACTGCAAAGCAACTCAAAAATGGGGACAGACTTATCAAAAACTAAGGCTAAAAATGAGTCTGACAAGAAATGAAATAAAACATGTCAATATGACAAGAGAAAATGTTTTTAATAATTTAGCCTTCTGCTAACCGGAACTAAAGGCTCACGGCTGCAGCTTAAAGTTCACATTTATCCAGTTAACATGAGGAAGAACCTCAAATCACAGTGTCCTCTGCCTCACTCCCCACCACTACAGGCCGCCTCGCTAGAAGCAGATGGGCAGCAGCTCCAAGAGACGAACAGTAGCCACAGGAACATAAATCTAGCCAGTGCAAACCCCGCTCTTGGGGACAAAACAGCCCCGACTTACCCCCAACAAACTTTCTGTTGCTGCTGTTACACAGGTTAGACCCTGTGCTACACCTGGCACTGGGAAGCATTGCACTGGCCAAATTCGAGCTGCTACAGCTGCTAAACAAGGCTCTGTGTCCTGAGCTGCTGCATGATGTCCTCCGGTTGAGGCAGTCCACAGTGGCAGGCAAGGTGAGGTGGCAACGACCGTGAGGTGGCTAGCCAGTTGTTGTTGGGTCAAGGGGGGTTTGAACAAATGAGCTGTGGGCAGCTCTACAATGGAATAAGATTAAATAAATCAATGTATGGGGAGCACTAGATTACTGTATGAAGCAGGTATATATGCCTGTGGTCATCTGGTGGGAGGGGCTTAGGACAGAGAGGTGAGAGCCGCAGGAGGAGGGTGTATTTTGCTTTTTGTTTTCTATTTCAGATTTCTGTCAGCCCCAGCTGTGAGAGTGAAGTGAAACAAACAGAATAATGGCACAGAAGAGGCATTCAGTTGCTTGCAGATTTATTTTTTGTTCCACACTCGACACATCAGACGAAAAAACCATATTGTATGATTTCTTGTACTGTCTTGTCAAGACTGATGCTCATTATTCGGCGTCCTTTCCCTTTGAAACAATATAAAAGAGACAGCAAGAAGTTAGTGATTAAACACTGTCAAGATGTAAAGATACGGAAACTCCCGGTATAAATATCAGCAGAGTGTACTGCTGAATGATAAGAAACTAAAATCTATATACCCTGACGATTTCACGGCTTTTGGCCCTCAGCTTGTTGACCTGAGACTCAGCGATGTCAGCACGCTCCTGAGCCTCCTCCATCTCATGCTGCACCCTCCTGTATCTGGACAGATGAGTGTTGGCCTGCTCCTCCTGAAAAGCATAAAGTTAAAGAAGTCACGTCATGAACGATCTCCCCAGTTGTATGAAATGAAAACTACACAGTCATTAAATCACACTGCATCGTGCTGTCAGATCTCTGGTGTCAGAAAAAGGTGTTACTGGTGTGACGCCTAGTTGTGTTGCATGTGTTGAATATTTCACACTCACGGCCTCCTCAGACTGCCTCTTGTAGGATTTCACTTTCAGCTGCAGCTTGTCCACCAGATCCTGAAGGCGGGCGATGTTCTTCCTGTCCTCCTCGGTCTAGAGGCGGTATACAATATAGTCTGTTTGAGACAACACTAAAGCGAACGCCATTATCCCACTGTGTTTTAGGAGTATCTTTCAAAATACTGGAGAGCACACAGTGTATTCCTACATACAGTACATCTTCCACAGTGAAGCCACTTCAGAAAGACTGACAAGAGCGACTGAACAATATGTGTTGTGAGCTGCATTTGAGTCCAAGACAAATTTCCCTACAGAGACAGTAAAGTATAGCATATCTTATCAAACAGGCGACACACACTGAAGATATGAATTAATGCACAACAGCAGAGACATTTACATATCTTCATGTATCAGGGGTTTCTTCGGTGCTGTCAATCAAGCTGGCTGTGAGGACTCAGAGTGCATGCTTAGAGGTCATCCTCTTTCAAATTTTTCACAGTGAAAATCTGTGAAGATCTATGAATATCACACGTGTGGTCATACTCATATAAGCGCATAACTGTGGGTGTTTATAGCTCCAACAGTAGACTGCTTATTTTTAGTTGTGGTCTACTCTGTATCACTTCAGTGTGTCAGCTGGTGCTACAGACATATGATGGTGCCCTCTAGGGGTTTGAAACATATTCTACATTCACTTTGTCTTCAGCTGCACAAATTAAAGAAATGCCTAAGAGAAATATCACATGACAATAAGCAGCTGGGTCACTGTCTAAATTACATTTAAAGGTGCACAAAGTTAATGTTTTGGTTCTCTGTACCTGGTAAGTCAGCTCCTTCACTCTGCGTTCGTACTTGCGGACACCTTTCACAGCTTCAGCTCCGCGTCTCTGCTCGGCATCAACCTCAGCCTCAAGCTCCCGCACCTGGACAATAAAAAGTGCAGATTTTATGCTGACAGGACCAAATAGGTTTGAAACGATTTTATTTCTGAGAAGTTGGTAAACTTGTTTGTTACAAGTAGAAAATTAATTGCGGGGTGGTGTAAAGATGCTCAAAACTAAAAAAAAAATAAATAAAAAAAAAAATAAAAAAAAATCAGTAATTAACCTCAATCATCCAAATTTCAAGAACAGAGCCAAAATGAAAACTAAAATAATTTTCCTCCATAGTGAACTTACCCTAGCCTCCAGTTTCTGGAGCTGCTTCTTGCCACCCTTCAGAGCCAGATTCTCAGCTTCATCAAGGCGGTTCTGAAGGTCCTTCACTGTCACCTCCAGGTTCTTCTTCATCCTCTCCAAATGAGCACTAGTGTCTTGCTCCTTCTTCAGCTCTTCTGCCATCATGGCTGCCTAAACATGTGGCAATTGTAGGAGAGCCAATAAGAAGAATGATCAAGGAAAATGAGGCCTAATTTGTTAGCCAAATGTAAAACAAAAGGGTGCATTACTACAGGATAGTGCTGATAGTGGTGTAGCTGTGAATATAAAATGTAAGGTTGTATCCAGCTCAGAATTACGTCAATCGAATCATATTTGGCTGTTCAGCACCATTAAGTATTAGTTCCTTTTTCCCCATAAAGAGATTGAGTTAAAACGAGGTGCAGCAGGATGTTCAGGGTAAAAGTGATGTTTACGTAGTATCGTAAAATAAGCCAAATTAGCCTTCTGTGCTAATGCGTGCTAACTACAATAACAATGGGTCAGAATTGTGTAACATTTTTTGTCAACACTATATATCAAACGAAAGTCAGAGACTGTATCGTAATAGGCTCCTGTAAGCTGTAAATTCACTGCTTCTAAGCAAAAGGCAGAAGACAGTGTCATCTCAGAGCCTGACAAGGCAATGCCTTTTCTTCCTCTGGGCAGCTGCCTCTGTCTCACTCAGACTCACCCTGTGTTTGGGTTTGCAGCTGCCTGTACCGAAGAGGAGTGTGAAAGTGAGGAGTGCTAATTCTGCAGCTAAATCTGGAGACTGAAACATCCCCACAAGTACACTGCACACTGAATGACAAAAAACAAACTGCTCAATTTGAAGAATCTCAGACCACTGAGGGGTCTCTGACCAATGCTTTAAATCTTTGATTTTCAGGGGGCATTCCTAATAAAACAATACAAATGTACTTAAAGTTATAATGGAATTATAATGTCCATAAAGTTAATCTCACTTTTTTTTTAATTCCCACACTGATTTGGGTCACATTTTTTAATGAAAATAATTTCCTGAGATCACTTGTTGAGTTAACTGTTACAGTTCAGTGCAACAGAGGCAACAACTTTAAAGGTTCCTAACACATAGACACTATTTATCTACCTGTGATTCTTGACTGTACAGTAAGCCCGCAAACAGTCTCTCAGCTTAAGTTTGAATGAACAAAATTATATATTATAAAACATCTCTACTAAAAATGACATTAGGGTAGGAACTTTTAACGAAGCAGTGAGTACATGCTCGAATACATAAACAGGGCTCACATCAGTGATGGCCTTCTTGGCCTTCTCTTCAGCATTTCTTGCTTCCTGCACAGCATCTTCCACCTCACCTTGGATCTGGACAAGGTCAGCCTCCAGCTTCCTTTTAGTGTTTATGAGATTTGTGTTCTGAAGGAAAAAACAAATTGTGAGGTACATTTAGTTTATTGTATTACGTTAAGCAGTATTTTATACAGTCTGTACACCACACAGGTATCATAATACCTGAGAGTGCAGCAGTCCCACACGCTCACTGGCATCAACCAGCTCCTGTTCAGCTACTTTGCGGCTTCTCTCCGTCTGCTCCAGTGCAGCTCTCAGCTCCTCGATCTCAGCCAGCATCAGGTTGTTCCTGCGCTCCACTATGGCAACCTGCTCCTTCATGTCTGCCTGAACTCTGAGAGCTTCATCAAGGTGCAGTTGTGCATCCTGAAGTCAAATAATACAAATTACATTTACAAATTTAAATTTGTTTGAGCCATATAGTTGTATTTTTGTTTGCATTTATATGTTGCATATTTATGTCCTACCTTCAGCTGTCCCTGCACATTTCTCAGTTGTTTCTGGGCTTCAGCTGCCTGGCGGTTGGCATGACTCAGCTGAATCTCCATCTCATTGAGGTCTCCCTCCATCTTCTTCTTGACTCTCAGGGCTTCGTTCCTGCTCCTGACCTCAGCATCCAAAGTAGTCTGCATGGACTCAATCACTCTCTGGCTGTTCCTCTTGATCTGCTCAATCTCCTCGTCCTTCTCTGCAAGTTTTCTGTCAATTTCATTCTTCACCTGGGTGAGCTCCAGCTGGATACGAATGATCTTTGATTCTTCGTGCTCCAGTGTAGCCTATGAAATAAAATATATGGTGGAAAACATCAGAATAAAGTATTAAGTAAACAGGAAGTTGCAGTATTTGGATCAAGACTAAAATTCTTATGTCCGTAGTTTCTTGTCTGTCTTTTTCTTTGTATACAACTCTTTTAAAATACAGGGTTCTTACACATTTTAATTTCAAAATTCCATACTTTTCCATACCCTAATTTCCAGACTTCTTGGCAGTTGTTTTTTTTTTTCTTCAGAGAATATGTGACATCTGAGTAAATATATCAGTGTATCACATTTCACATCATATTTAATTATTCTTAATAGGCGATTGTAGCCAAGTACCATAATGGCATGCAAATAAAAACTCAGGTAAGTTCAATGTCTGGGCTGAGGCAAAAAGGTTGGGACTCTGGGTGCAAGCGATGCAGTAACGAGACGTCGGTGTTTTTTCCTTTCATGTTGTTCAAAATCGCCTTCTCCCTTCTCTTTTTTTCACTTGCCCGGTCGGGCAAGTTGGTCAGAGATCTACTTGCCCGAAGTCAGTTTTTACTTGCCCTATAAAAATTGTTTAATTTAAGCGGCTATCAAATAACAAAGACTGCAGTTATTTTTATGTTATGTAATCTTTATTCACACTGTATTTATTAATTAAAACAACATACGTCATGTATTGTAGCTTAATTCCTACACAAAAATGACAGTGTCAGGGCTTAAAGTGAAAAATTTTCCTGAGCCTGAAACCTGAAACCTGGGGGGAGGCAGTGGCAATCTTTGTCAGTCATTCTCTGTCTATAATTTTGCGCCCTACTTGAGCCATGCCCACCTCTATTTTTTTTTCACCCCTCTCTCCAGTTCTGCTTTATTAACACCGGGTTTAATATATTTTGCTTCCATCTCTCTGCCCTGCTCTACTCTACTTCAACGCTACTTAGCTCTCTCTCTACTCTACCAGTAAACTACCACATCCACCTGTTGCACAAAACGCACACAGCAGTGTTTCCCCTAGGATGGAGTTGTAGCAGTGGAGGTGAAGCACACGCATGAAAAATAATTTTCGCATGCGTGAAACTTTTTTGTATGCTTGCAAAGCACAGCCTGCTGGGATGTTTCTGTGTATCTACTGGCACCAGAAGGGCTCTTTAGGACTAAGTACATACAGTACATTTGTGCACAGTAATGAGCAGGTGAAATGTCTGTCTAGCTTACATATGAGGTGTCTCAAGATTTAGGAACATACAATTTTATTGAATATAATAAAAGTAAAAACTCACATGACATGCTGCTGTTTTGTGCTATGACCTATTTAAATGGTGGAAGTTGTTATTTACGTGACAACGCCTGAAGGCAACACAAGCTCAGCACCAAGAGTGCCGTGCTGCGCTGCAGTGCGTGCAGCGTGTTTGTCTGTGCGTTTGTTGCTGGTTATTTACACACTGTCTATAACAATAACTTTGTCAGCTGACAAACTGCACCGGGCTCTGGGTCTGTGTCTGTGTGGCAGAACTCCGCCGTGCGCAATACAGAGAGCAGAGGAGAATTGTTAATGCGTGACCATGTAGAGACAGAAATGACACGATGACATAACACCATAAATAGTATATTGTTATGTTATAGAGACAGAAATGACACGATGACATAACACCATAAATAGTATATTGTTATGTTATTATATGAAGCGTCCGTCGTGCAAAATAATATGACTTTAGTTTATGAAGAGGTAAGACAGAGCTCTCTCCTCTCCTCTACATAGTGCAGCACGTAGCAGACTGGATATACCACTTGTCAATCAGGTAAAAGGGGCGGTATGTTTTCTGAGACATTTGCTCTCACACAAACTGTGCCTGGCCCGGCATAAAACACGATCCGGATTGATTAAATTATTTTTGGAAATACCTAATTTTCTATTTTAGAAAACAGTATTTTAGAACAGTGGTAACAGTCTGGAAACAAATATTTTTCCATACTTTATTTTTCATTTTCCATACCTCTGCCTCCTCAAGAGCAGTCTGGACTTCTGCTTTCTCAATCTCTGCTGTCTTCTTTGCCTTTTCCAGTTCATGAATTGTTTTTCCTGATTCAGCAATATGTTCAGTCAAATCGCTGATTTCCTCTGTTGAGAAAAAAAAATAGAATTACTGCTTTGCGGTTGTATGCCTGAACAAATCAGTCAAGTTGCAGTTACAGTTCACATCCATGTCTGTTAAAACACGGATGCTTCACACACATTTTCCCCTCTGCAGCACAGAACATCTATACAGTACAATCAGCACAGTTTCAAGCTGAACGCCAAGATGAGTGTCACCAATTTAGTATCTGACCAAATCTCCCCTTCTGTTTCTGAGATATGGTGTTTAATAATGGCAGAAAAAGTGTTTTTTTTTTGGTGACATTATAATGTCACAGTGAAGTTAACCTTTGACATTTTGGAGATAACATGTCATCACTTTATCATTATGTCCTATTATATCCTTGAGTTATGGCCAAAAACATGTTTTGTGAGGTCACACTCAGTACGTTTACATGCACAGTTTAATTCCACTTTTAATCGGAATGAAAGGCCATTCCGATTAACAGTGGTCATGTAAACGGTCATTCCGATTGAAAAACGGTCATTCCGATTGAAAATTAAATCCGATTAAAGGGGGTGGTTTATTCCGTTCGGCATTCCGAATGAAAGAATTTTGTGTGCATGTATACACTCAATCCTCTTTAAGTTCATTCCGGTGTTTCTGCGCATGCTCGTTTCCTTGCCCTTCTGGCGCGATGACTCATATAGCGCGCATAGCAACGGGCTGCATAGCAACGGGCTGAGATAGAGCAGTCGGACTTGTTGCACTCACCGGTTTCCATTCGCCACAGCACGGTCTTCTATCTCCCTTCTTCGACCTTCTACCTCCCTTCTCCTCCTCAACAGATGAAGCATTAGCAGAACAAGGTTGTTGTCGTACTGCTGTTTCAAGAATATAAGCAAAACACGCCCGAAAAAGGCACTAAGAACGGCATCGTCAAGCATCTTGTTATCCGGAGCGAGGACTACAGTGTTTTCTTCCGGTAAACGTAAACACGTAACATCCGCCCAGTGGATGTTTGCACCAAATTTGAGGAAACTTCCTCAAGGTGTTCTTGAGATATCGCGTTCATGAGAATGAGACAGATCCAAGGTCACAGTGACCTTGACCTTTGACCACAAATATCTAATCAGTTCTTTGTTGAGTCCAAGTGGATGTTTGCACCAAATTTGAGGAAACTTCCTCAAGGTGTTCTTGAGATATCGCGTTCATGAGAATGAGACAGATCCAAGGTCACAGTGACCTTGACCTTTGACCACAAATATCCCATAAAAGAAATTCCTTCTTGGCGTTCTTGAGATATCGTGTTCACAAAAATGTGACAGACAGAGGGACGAATGGACAACCTGAAAACATAATGCCTCCAGCCACAGCTATCGCTGTCAAGGAGGCATCAAAAAAATGTTTGTGAACAAAGTTTAGTGTTGTTATTGTAGTATTGCATTAATTATCTATCTTATTTTCTCTAGTAAGATCAGACCTGTCACTTAAGCCCAAACTTGAGTATTTAGAGTGTCACATTCACAAAAAACATGCTGTTAAGATTTTGTTTTTCATCAGTCTTGAATGTGTCACATATTTAGTAAAATTGTATTTAATGTCAACAATCACAAGCAGGATTCGTTGTCTTACGTTGCAGGTTCTTGTTCTCTCTCTTCAGGGTCTCCAGTTGGTCCAGAGCTTCTTCATATGAATTTTTCAGCTTGAACATCTCAGTGCTCAATGAGCGACTCTCCTTCTGAGCTCCCTCCAGCTCTGCCTGACTCTCTTCATACTTCTGCTTCCACTCTGCAAGAACCTGAACATGTACAGAACAACTGTTGTTGTTTTTGTCCCCTTAGGTAAACAACTCAAAACCATGTGTTGAGACAGTAGCATCTGACCTTATCAAAGTTCCTTTGTTTCTTGTCGAGGTTAGCAGCCAGAGCATTAGCTCTCTCCACATCAATCATCAGGTCCTCCACTTCACCCTGCAGTCTCTGTTTGGTCTTTTCCAGAGAGGCACATTTTGCATTCACAGCCTCGATGGATTCCTCTGCATCCTGAAGACGCTGGGCAAGCTTTTTCCTGCAAAAATATGTCAGGATGAGTTAAGGAACTGATGCATGTGGTAACAACTAAAGCTCTGATGTAAACAACAAACTTAAAGTGTGTTTAGTGCTACAGTGGAGGAGCCTAGATTTGTCATTAATAATGTTCGTACTAAAGAGAGTTATCTTCTCTCACACAGGTGCAGAACATATGTGCTAGTTGGTCGTTGGCTGGAGTCTTTGCAGTGTGTTCACATATAGCTCTTTGGTTGAGACACATGTGACATGAGTTTTTTTGATGTCAGTTTGGTTTGTCTTATGTATATATA